CCCGTATCCCCTGCATCGGCAGGCGGACTCTCAACCACTGCGCCACCAGGGAGGCCCCCCCCGGAACTATACTCTTAAACACGGGTTAAAGTGGTACATTGTATGTAGTATATTTTACCACAGTTGTTAAAAAGAATAATTTTTAAAAAAGACTACGTCACAGAACAAATGAGGCCTCTCAGAGCAGCCAGGATCTTACCTTGGGTGGAAAGTATCTTGTCGTCTCCCTGCCCCTTCTGGGGTTCACACTGGCCAGGGCAGTTGCCCCTGACTGTTTGCCTCCTTTACGTCTATATATAATCTTGGCTAAAAATACCGGGACCTACAGTGTTGTGTGGATATGGCTTTTGCTTGTCCTTTTTTTTTTCGGTACGCGGGCCTCTCACCATTGTGGCCTCTCCCGCTGCGGAGCACAGGCTCCGGACGCGCAGGCTCAGCGGCCATGGCTCACAGCCCAGCCGCTTTGTGGCATGTGGGATCTTCCCGGACCGGGGCACGAACCCGTGTCCCCTGCATCGGCAGGCGGACTCTCAACCACTGCACCACCAGGGAAGCCTGTCCTCTTTTTTTTCATCACCTGGAACGTGGCAGAGCCTGTTGGACCCCCAAGGATGGTATCCAGCAGTCTTGAGTTTCCAGTGAGGTCAGGGCTCAAGACCCTAATTGGAATGTTTATTTTTCTCCTTCAAGAGCTCCCATCAGGTGGAAGTTGGACCATCACATCTGCCTCTCTGATCCCTTCTCACTGCCTCTTCTTCATTGTGTCCTTTCTTCCACTGTCAGTATGTGTTCCCTATGTCTATCAGCTATTTCACAATTAAAGTAGAATATTAAAGAAATTATAGGTAATTGAATCTAGTCATTCGACTTCCATAAAAATCTATACCAAAGAAAAAGCTGTTGTTGTGAAACTGTTTATCGCGTAATTAGTTTAAAAAGTGAAAACAGCACTTTTTGAATTAGTTTAAAGGAAATTAGTTTAAAAGTTTCTACAGCTTAAATGTCCAAATGCTAGGGAATGGTTGGGTATAAAGTATAATAGAACCACCTGAGGGAATACAATGCAGATGTTAAAAAATAAGTTTGAGATGTAGAAATAAAATGTCACCTAAATTTCAGGTGAAAAACACCCAGTTTTTAAATTACATGAAAAAAATTTTAATTTTAAGGTATGCATAAATGTTAATAGTTGCTGGGACATGATAGAAATTATCGTTGAATTTGTTTTATAACTTTCATAATACTTCTGTCATGTTACTGATTTTATAATGCATGTATAAAGAGGGAGTATGTGGTAAAGATTCCATTTTCTCCAGTGGAAGTGGGAGAAAAGTGAACTTGGCTTGTGCCTAAACCTTTTAAGGGCAAGTGTGAAGGTAGTGAATGAAGTGGAATTAGAATCGAACAGTTCCTGTGTCAGCCACCAGGGGGCACCATCAGCCCAGAGCCGGTGGCTATCTAGGGACAAAGTGGCACCAACCCCGGACTTGGTGTGCAGCGGGCTGTCTGTATCTACAGATGTTTACAAATTGTGTTTGTAATTCTGTTTATGAATCTGCCCGTGTTGATGGATTGAGATTGCCCCATAAAAATAAATATCTGCCTCCTGGTCAGAGTGAAATTCAGTAGATATAAGTTTGGTGGTTTGTTTCCAGATGAACTCTATTTCCTGTAATTGACTAATATTTACAGACTGAAAGTTTGAAAGATAACAGTGTGCTCTCTTCATTCTGTAAAACCATTGCAGCTTGGCATTATTTAATGTTTGTTTGGTTTTTGGAGCTTGGTGGTCTGTCATTCCTCCAAGGACTAGAATAGGGGAATTCAGAAATAGAATAAATTGAAAGTCTATTTGCTCAGCTGGTTGCCAAGTTAATAGTCCCTAAATTTTTTTATCTAGTGAAGTCACTTGACAATGAAACTCAAAAGAGAGGTTGAGGACACATTTCCCAGCTCCTTCTGTAGCTCATGGCTACATGACTGAGAGAAAACACCACACCCCAAAGGCAAACATCAGTGGGTGAGGTGAATGGAGCAGGTGTGGAGAATCCCTGTGTGGTTCTAGGATCTTTGCCAATAGATGAATCTTATCAAGAAATTGGAATAGCCCTAGCTTTACTTTATTTATGACCTTGTATTCTTGAGAAAGAAAACAGCTGTTTTGGTCATTCTTGTCAATGGCCTTATTTTAAGTTTTGAGTTCACACATATCACAGAGCATTTATTTAGCCTTCTTTTTAAACTTTAAAATGAAATATGATGAGTCCTGCTCTTTTTAAAAATATCTGACACGACCTAAAATACAGGTGCTGTTTATCTCGTGGTGACACTATGCCTGTGAATGTGCTATCACCTGCAGCAGAAACTCTTTTCTTCAGCATTGTTGGAGGAATTTCAGGCATCCAAATTCTATTTTAGAGTGTCCTAGAGCAGGAATCCACAAACCTTTTCTGTCGAGCGCCAAATAATAAGTATTTTAGGCTTTTCAGGCAAGTCTGTTAGGCTTAGTGGGCCATATGCAATCTGTCGGACCTCCTCACTTCTGTCCTTGTAGTAGAAGCAGCCATAGACAATTTGTAAACAAATGGGCATGCTTGTATGCCAATAAAACTTTATTTATGGACACTGAAATGTGAATTTCATATAATTTTCACATGTTACAAAATATTATCCTTCTTGATTTTTTTCAATCATTTAAGAATGTAGAAACCATTCTTAGCTCGCAAGCCATATAAAGATAAGTGGCCATAATTTGCTGACCCCTGTCCTAGACGGATTACTAAGTGACAGTTCTAAAGGACCTCTGAGTAGTGTGAAGCTTGGAGAGTAGTCAAAGATGTCACTAATCTGAAGTCACCTCTGGATCTATTAGCAGAGCGGAGAGTGAGGTCTACTTTAGAAACTGGTATTGAGGGGAGTTGAAATAGAAAACAGAAAAGGGAAGAGGGGAGAATCACCTTTGCTTCCTTCCTTGTGTTTCTGCCGTTCTAATTTAAGTGAAGTGATTAGCCAAGTAGCAGAGTGATACAGAGCAATTCAAGTGGTCTTTCTCTGCCCCGGATTGCTTTAACCAGCCTTTTCAGTTCGAGCTGTGATATATGGCATGTGTGACAAAGAGCACAACTCTAAACTTTCTCACCCAGGAGGAGGATCTGAGGCTGGTTCCTCCTCAGCAGGAGTTGGGACTGTGTGATCTACTGCTCTTTATGCTAGCCACGTGGCCGTAATGATTTCAAATACTGGTCCATGGTCCTCGGAACCTAAGATGTTGGCTCTAAAATTTTAATCTTCAAGGTCAAAAGAAAATCTCTCAGATTGCCTTCCTCCCCTGAGTACGGTGCTGAAAGCTGGTTGTCTTTTTTTTTTTTTTAATATTTATTTATTGGGACTTCCTTGGTGGTCCAGTGGTTAAGAATCCACCTTCCATGGGCTTCCCTGCTGGCGCAGTGGTTGAGAGTCCGCCTGCCCATGCAGGGAACACGGGTTCGTGCCCCGGTCCGGGAGGATCCCACATGCTGTGGAGTAGCTGCGCCCGTGAGCCATGGCCGCTGAGCCTGCGCGTCCGGAGCCTGTGCTCTGCAACAGGAGAGGCCACGACAGTGAGAAGCCCGCGTACTGCAAAAAAAAACAAAACAAAACAAACAACAAAAAAAATCAACAACAAATAAGACATTAAGACAATTGAATCACACACACAGCAAATAAAAGCTTGACACTAGGAACCTGCACCTGATTTATCAGAATGGAAGCCACCTAGTATTCCTTACCAAAGTGACTTGACTCTGCAGCAATCCTGCTTTAAATATCACATCAGTGGATAGCTGTAATCTATATGTGCAGTTAAAGCTTTCATCAAAACTACAGATCTACATAGCCAATCTCCTAAATAAGTGCAAAGTAACTTCATCTAAACACTAATGGACAATTAAAGCCAGCTTTCCAAAAAATAATTAATCCTCTCTCCCAAACCCCAAACTGGAACTCCTCTTTGTTCTCTTTAAATTGCAGTATCTATCATAGCATGAGGCACAGCCATCCACTTGTCATTTAAGCCTGATGCCTATAGTCATTCTGTGCTCCACATTTTCACTACAGTTCATTCATGCACAGAGTCCCTTGATCTTTCTTACCACAACTATTACATAATGCCCTAATCACTTTTTGCTGATATCCCTTCAATAACCACAGTGCTTCTAGAGTTGCCTGACTCCATAAAAAAAAAAAAAAAATCCACCTTCCAATGCAGGGGATGCGGGTTTGATCCGTGGTCAGGGAACTAAGATCCCACGTGCTGCGGGGCTCTAGAGCCCACGTGCCACTACCAAGCCCGCGTGCCACAGCTACTGAGCCCATGCTCTCTGGAGCCCATGCGCTGCAGCTAGAAAGAAGCCTGTGTGCCACAATGAAAGATTCCACATACCGCAAGGAAGATCCTGTGTGCCACAACCAAGACCTGATGCAACCAAATAAATAAATAAATATTAAAAATATAAAAATGCAGGCTCTTAGTTGTGGCGTGCAGGATCTAGTTCCCTGGGCCCCCTGCATTGGGAGCACGCAGTCTTAACTGCTGGACCACCAGGGAAGTCCCTGAAACCCATTTTTTTCATTGAAAAACATCATCAGCTTTGTGCTGCCGCCTTGGCTTCACGGACCCTCCAGCTTCCTCCTCTTCCTCCTTGTGGAAGGCAAGTCACTGGGATTTTGTCTCCTCTCCTCATTGTCCTGTGGGCTACCCGCCCCCGCACCGTGATATCTCCCCTAGGGATTGCTTGCTTCCCAGTTGTCACTGCAGTCCCAGCTGGCACAGCTTGTGCCTCACACCAGCATTTTCTCTGACAGTCCTCTTCATCCCAGCCCAGCTGCCTTCCCTGGCCTTGGCCCCTGAAGGATCCCCATCTTCCTAAACCTCTTGCTGCCCATGCTGAGCTCCTCTTAGCATCCCTGCTGGTCCCCTCCCACCTCTTCCTTCATTTGCCCGATGCTCCTCTGCACATTTCTCTTCTCCTCTGGGCCAACACTCTAGAAATAAACCACAGCATCTGAGGGAGAGGCAATGTCATCAGGATCTGATTTAGCAATTCGTATTTTTCCATTTTGCACCATGAAATGTCAAGAATCAACAGTTTGAGGTCTTATTGAACAAGCTGATAACGTTTGTACTTGTTAACCTCCCTTCGCATGGAAATATGGAAGTCTTTTTAAAATTTTCTTTCCGTCTTCAGATTTTCCATCTTTGGCGGGAACTGATTTGCCAAGCCAGGAGGTAGCCCAGGAAGAGTCTCTGTTCCGCAGCAGGTCTTCACACACCATCACTCCCACACCCCCTCCTCCCACAGGTGATTCAGAGCCCACGGTCTTATGGAGAGATTCATTTTCTCAGAAGTTTGGATCCTCAGATCACTTGGAGAAACTACTCAAGATTGATCTGGCAAGTCCACAGTGGACTGTTTATAAAGGAAATGACCACTCTCAGAAGTCACCATCTTCCTCAGAACAAACAGTAGCTCATCTGCTGCCTGAAAATGTGACAGTGTTCCCCAGTACAGTGGCAGTTACTGCTCTGGCCACTCCAAAGCCTGCATCTCTCCCTGCCGCCAACGGTGCAGGGATACCTTCTGTGACTTCTCAGCCTCAGGGGGCCACCTCTGCCCCACCTGTAGCCACGGTCACTAACACGACCACAACTGAGGTTCTGACTTCCATCTTTAGGGCATCGACAGACTCGAAAGGCCCACCAGACACGGTGCCCTTTAGAGACATTTCCAGCTTGACTTTGAACACAGAGGCTGCCCAGGACCCTGCTACATTTCCTTTGTCAAATGTGAATTCTCCCACTACAAATACAACAGCTTCCCAGGAAGATGGGAAGGCCAGCTTTGGTGGGCCCTCCCTGAGCAGTGCTCCAGAAAGGCAGCAGGGCCTCGCATTTGAACAGTGGCTCCTGGTCGGGACCGTGCTCTTTGGGGTTCTGTTCCTCGCCATAGGCCTGGGTCTCTTGGGCAGAACGCTCTTAGAATCCCTCCACAGGGAACGTTACTCGAGGCTTGATTATTTGATCAATGGCATCTATGTTGACATCTAAGGAGGACATTAGATGCTTTTTTTTTTGGCTGTGGGATGTGGGATCTTAGTTCCCCGACCAGGACCAGGGATTGAACCCGTTCCCCCTACAGTGGAAGTGGGGAGCCTTAACCACTGGGCTGCCAGGGAGGTCCCTAGATGTCTCTTTATTCATGTAGTTACTAATAGCCCCTATGCAGCGAGGTTCTGCTGACTTGCTCACCTTCGCAGGATTTTTCAAGTATTTTGAAGACAGACAGAGATGCCTCCTACCGCTTTCTTTTTGTTTGTTCTGCGAAAAGAAGTGGGGGAAAGAAACAAATGGGTGATTTGAAGGATCTGTCTCTAAAATATTAGCTGAAAACAAAGCTCTACCTAAAGCAATAAAGAATAATTGCCACATCAATTGGAAAACGACTGGCTTTTTACAAGGAAAAAGGGTTAGGACTCCTAGGCTCCGATTCATTAATATTTCTGGTTCCAGATAAAGTCAACTGTTTATGGTATTAATTCTAATGGATTTACTTTCCTTTTTATATGAATTCCAATAAAACTTATTCCAGATGTATTTCCTTCCAATTAAATATCTGAATAAATCTTTTGGTACTCAGTAATGTTCTTGCAAGTGACACGTCCAGCTGGATAACTTTAAATTTATTCCCACCAGCAAAATGATTAAATGATGAAAATATGTGTTCTAAGTTAAAATGACAAACCCCCCTTATCCCATCAATGAGCAAAAGAGGTTCCTTTGGGAGAATTCTAGCAGAATATTAGCCTGCATGGAGATGATGATAAGTTCTGATAAATGGCCAGATCTACTTTGGGTCTGCTCTAGTTAACTACTTTTTCAAAAAAAAGAAAAAGAAAAAGTAAAATAGGCATTTTCCAAACTTAAGTGAATTTAAAATGTAACAATATTATTTATATCCTTATCTATACTTGACCAATAGTCAATGTTGGCTTTATTTGGAATAACATTGGAAATAATAGATAGCACTTAAAATTACAGGCATGCCTCATTTTATGGTGCTTCACTTTATCATGCTTCACAGATACTGCACTTTTTACAGATTTAAGGTTTATGGCAGCCCCGCCTCAAGCAGGTCTATTGGTGCCATTTTTCTACAGCATTTTCTCACTTCATGTCTCTGTGTCACATTTTGGTAATTCTTGCAATATTTCAAACTTTTTCATTATCATATTTGTTCCGGGGATCTGTAATCAATGATGTATGTTGTTACCACTAGGAATTACTGAAGGTGCAGATGATGGTTAGCATTTTTTAGCAATATTTTAAAATTAAGGTATATACTATTTTTAGGTAATGCTATTGCACTTAATACTACAGTACAGTGTAAACATGACTTTTATATGTACTGGGAAACAAAAATATTCGTGAGACTCGCTTTCTCGTCATATTCACTTTACTGCAGTGGTCTGGAACCGAACCCGCAATATCTCCGAGGTCTGCCTGTATTATTAAGTGATTAGCATGCTGTAATTTTTATTGATTAGTTATTACAGTATCTGAGAAATGTTTTGAATAACGGGGGTTTGCTGGATAAGTTACAGTGGGGTAACTGGGAATCCAGGAGACCGCCTGGGTCAGTTGACATCTCATCTCTCGGGACTTCAATTTGCTTATTTGCAAATCAAGAGGTTTGGTCCCTGGTGTCATGGGTTTTTAAAGACAAAAATGGGATTCAGGTGAGAATCTATACAGTGAACGCTAGAGGGCAGTAACTGGTTAAAAAGTAGAGCAACGAAGGAAAATGTAGAGACAGAAACAGGCTGTTCTCCTTTTTCCTCCTTCCCTCCTCCTTCCCGTCCCCTCACCTGGGACCACTCCCCCTCCCCCCTGGTTTACACTAAGCTCATAAAGCTCATTAAGAGGAAAGCTGGTCTATTGAAAATACTACTTTTCATGTGTTTTCCAACTTAACAGCTTGACACAAATCTCCAAGGGGTTTACATAAGCTTTAAGTAGGGTGAATAAATAAAACCTTGACTCAGTTTAATTTAACAAGTATTTATTGAATATCCACATGTAGGCCAGAATCAGATTAGTAACTAAGTACCTTGGAATTTTAAAATTTCTCCTCTCTTTGTTAACAGAATTGGATATTGGAAATAGGGCTTTTCCGTGGATGTTTATAAAGGCGTTCTTCTGGAGCTCTCCATCTACCTTGCCGTCTGCAGTCTTTCTTGCAATGGAGAAATTTGATTGGGAGCCCAGATGAGAGATGCTATGGGCCCAAACTCTGGCCATGACCGTGGGGATGTAGATTGTAGGGGAACTGCTGATTTGCGGCGTCCTTCTCAAGGGGAAA